TGGAAGCATCTTTAAGAGACGAAAAGTACAAACAGCAATATGTGAGTTGACATATTTAATTCTTATTTCTTATAGACTGCTAAGATGGCTAGCTAGCTGCCTTCAGAGTGATCCAAAGTTATCACTTAAGGTCATGATGCACCATGTTATAAAACCTGAAGTGGGTTTGAAGTTTACATTCCAGGGGACTTTGACAAAGTCAAGCATTGTGCCTTATGCCTTTTATAAAACAATGAGATGTAAGTTTCATTAATGAAGTAATTAGTTCTCTAGGTTTAATTATGTCGCACTTCTCCGGCCAACTAATGACGACGAGAGAGATTGGTGACATGATGGATAGGGCCACGAAATCGTACTTTCATAATTTGAAAGATCGTGTCCAAAGGTGTAAGCGGAAGCAAGGAATTCAGGTAATATTGCGAAACGCCTGCTTACTTTTATAAAGTGAACGTTTATTCAACATGTAGTAATCACAACATTGTTTTCATTTTTAGGCAAATGAAAAAGATACCAGGGGATATAACAGTGGCACTTATGTAAGTAAACTTTTATAAATGTATATGCTTAGAATGTGCTCAGCACAATTTTTCACCCACTAATATTTTATTTTGCTTATTTCCAGGACGCTACCAGTGGATCGCACTTGACGGGATTGCAGTGACATTGTACTACAGTTTATAAGTACAAAAGTCTCTCAATTGTAAAAATAGATTTCTTTCTGAATTGCGCGGGCGTAGGACACAGGTGATGATAATAAGTAGAAGTCTTTTCGTCCTAAAGTGATGCGAGTCAGTGCTGAAAATGATCTGAAAGGGCTGAAATAAAGCTGATAAGCAAACCGAGTAGGTTCTGATCTACTCCTGACAATGCTTAAAAAAAGAATACGGTGCTGAATTAGCGCTAGTTATGCTGAAAACTAGCACTGAGTTCTAGTCTGTGGCATTGAACAATTCATTTCCGAAGAAATTCAGAATTTACTTATTTTAGGATGCTAGAATTATTTCAGAATTAATAAATAAAAGAATTTTTCCCCCACATCCCCAGTGGAACATAGGGCTTGAAGCTAGTTATTTGAAGTTTCTGTAGCAGTGTTTAATTTTACAGGATGGGGTTGCTAGCCCCATGCCCAACCTTTCCTCTTCACCAGCTTTACTTCTGGCTGAGTGAGGTAATATTCTTTTTTGAATCACATGCAGTGCTATCGAGGTCTGCGTAATCGGGGTGTTTGAAGACATTGCACTGCTTGTCCATCAGGTCAGATGGGTAGTCGTTACCTACGAAAACGTCATTTTTCGGTGCTCTATTTATTCAATCAAGTATGAAACGATGCTTACGTCTTTTGACGCTTTCGCGTGCAAACTACAGTCGACTAGGACGACTGACTGCAATTGGCAGTGCTATATGTTCTCTGAAGGGCCTTGTGCTTCGCGAGCGCCTCTTGCAAGTCATCTGGATAAATAGTTAAGTGTCGATACGACTAACCTGTCTCAAAAATCACCTCACAATTCTCCATCTTCCTCCTCATAGGCATTATCCCAATTGTCTTGGCTGCAGACAACAAGCTTAGGTCCAAGAAACCAAGAGCTTCGGCATATCACTGCCTCATTTTTCCCATCGATCAGTGCAATACGGCATTTGCCCATTTATTCTGAAAGGAACGGTACATTAGTAAATGAATAACGAAATACCTTAAAATTCTCCTAGTGGAATGTATAGAGAGTTTAAACTCAAACTGATATGCTAGCAAACCCAACCCACTTTGTCGATCATGTCGGCTCTTACCTATTAACCACATTAACTGCAACCGACGCCAATGGAACAACACAAATCAACAATGGCAACAGCTTATCTAGCCGATGTGTGAGGCATTGGGATGAAAACGTTGAAGTGATTTGTGGGTATTGCAATGCATTTATATTTAATTGTGTTAATTGCAACCCATTCAGTGTCGCCTGAGAACTGGCCTGATTTGTATATATCAAGCTTTGTTGATTCGAAAGGCTTGTTAAAAAATGGTTGCTTATCCAAACAAGGTCTGAATTTGGATACATTGCCCTCACCCACACCACAGATAATCCCAGGTACTCCATTTACTACTACGAATCGGTCAGGCGAAACAGTTGAATAGTAAATCTTGCTAACACAAAATGACCCCTTTGCTAAATCAACTGTAACGCATGGCGGGGTTAGCTCAGCAGGTGACTTACCTGCATTTGTAGAGCTTGCAAACACGAATCTTTCGACTTCTCGAGAGGCTACTTCTTTTGCTACCCTGAAGCCACTCCTCACCCTTCCCTTGATTTGGCACAAATGTGACTCATACGGGAAGGCTGAAAAGGTATCCAGACAACCGTGTTCAGAGACGTCCTCAGCTAAATGCTGGAGAGCATGCACATTGTAAACCAACTCTTCAGGGTAGAGGCTGTCGAAACATAGTACATACTGCCTGAGCTGTTGTTTTACGGTGTCGCACAATTTAAGGTGGTAACGAGGATGACATAAAATGTAGACACTCGTGAACAATCTGAGGAAGTTTGCGTATAGTGGAGAGGGTAATAGGTCATGTAATACAATTGGGCCCAAATACATAAGAAATAGCCGGCATTCAGTGGCCTTCCAAAACTGAAGAAACTCCAAGCTGCGAAACTTCCTTTGGAAGTGCTTAGGAATGCAGCTTTCTGCAGCCTGTAGCCTTTCGTTAATACAAGCAATTGTTTCATTGCTCAATCCGAATTGGCGTTGTTTTGCCAAACGCAACCATATACCCAATTGCCGCCTAACAACACCTAAGCAGACTAAATGCATATAATCTAATGGAAAAATCTTAACCATATCAATTGGAAGTCTCTCAAATACTGATGTATCACGGTGGTAATCGGCATCTTCCTTACTCCTAAAGCTATTGTGTGTCCTGCGACAGCTGTTAACATCCTTAAATACCATACGCCGGTTTACATAGTTGCCAGTAACGCAACATCTGTCACAACCTTTCCTACTGTTGTGACTCGCTGTAAAAGTGATGCCAGATCTTGCAAGCTTATCGCAGATAACACTGTTAAGCCGGAAGCCGATATCTGTCTGTCTGTCTGTTTTCGACATAGAACTTTGCACAAATGTGCGGAAGTTCAAGTCGCCACATTCCGTGTAGCACGCGAAGCAAGAGAAGTACAAGAAAAGCATAATAGAAACAGTGAGAAGAGGTGTGAGACAAAGGAGTAATAAAGGAAGCCGATATGCCTCTCATTGATTTGTAAACCGTGTGCATATAAGTGCTCCATGTCAGTTACAACTGGCAATAAAAAATTATTGAAGTCAGACGGTTTATGAAAACCACCATAGACTCCAATAAGAAATATATCACTAAGAAACGGTTTCACCAGTCGACCCAATATTGGTCAAACTTGCTGTGTACCATTGTTAAACAATGACAATCCATCAACATTCAGCTGCAGATTAACGCAATCAAAAGATGCAAACTGACACCAACAACTCAGTATAGGCGTAAGTATACTTCGCAAACCAATATGATAGTAAACTCCACTACCAATAACAGTTGAGGGGCATGACTAGCTAGTTTTGAGAATGTGTCTTATATTTGTTGGTAATCTTGGAATATGCCGTTTGAACAATCACATAATCTCTCCACCATCAACAATGGATGTTTTAGTGGTCATCATAAGCTTTAAGGCAGTCCTCCTAAGTTCTGCCTTTGAATTGCGTTCTTTTGCCTTATCGGAACGTATCTCATGGGACAACAGAGCGCCCGCAGCATTACCTTATCGAATAGTCGTCACATGAAATACTAAGAAACCAACTTGGTAAAGTGATTTGCATATCAATTTGCACGTTTACGACGCTACAAGAAGTTTCATCTACTAGACATTCACCAGCCTCGACGCTGAAATCGGGAAGTATCATCTTGGCTACGTCACCGAGCAACTCCTATTTCAATCTCTTAGTTCTTCTATACAATGTGGATCGGTGGCCTGTCTCTTTTACAAATAAACCTAAAGCACAAGGCTATATTAAAGAGAATAAAGTACTTCTAAGACGTCTAGGGGTATTCACATTACTACAACTTGCTACTACTTCACTTTCAGTATCCATTTTATTACCTTAAAAAAGACTACTACAAATACTTAACTCACTTAGTCAGGGGTGCAGGACGGGGAATTTGGAATCGCGGCTTCGGAAGTCAAACTTAAGTTTGGATTCACATAAACAAACGTGTCAAAATGATTGAAATGAAATCATCACCATTTGTCTTCATGCCACTTCACAATGATTACAGACACATTGTATAATATTCAACCTGAAATGTTCCTCACCTCATGCATTCCCCATCTTAGTATGACTGCGCTACAAAAACAAATCCACCCCATTCTTCCCATGTTTCCCCTGTTTCCCATATTTTCCCACATTTCCCACGTCTCCAGAAAATAGTTGCCCACTTTACCCATGTCACTTGACCAACTAGCCCACTTCTTCCCACTTTACCCATGTTACAAACGAAAACAGCCCACTTTATCCCACTTTGCCCACATTTGAACGGGAAACTGCCTACGTTTTTACCCACATATCCCAGGTCCAAAAAAAAGTAACCAACTGAGAAGCTGGGGTCGGTCCGCGAAATTTGAGCTAACGATAGAGCATCCTGGAAATTTCATACTTGTAGCAAAAGTGCTCTGTGGAATCAAGCTATAATTAAAATGGAAAATAAATATGAAATATACTCTGTCCACTGGTTGACCATAACTATCAACGGCAAACGGAACGAAGATTAGGTTGGCGCGTAACCTTAATGGTGACCCTAATGAATGGTCTGACAGCCTGTCGACGGACTTCGTCTACCCTTCATTAAATAATTTTCCCTGTTGTCATCTGTTTTCTTTTGCAAAGATTACTTAGATCCGTGATTATGGGAAGCTGTTAATTTTTTTTTGTAATCGCTAATATTGATTGTGTTTCAAAAAAGAAATCGTCTTCATGGTTTTTCACAGCTAACTGAATCACCTGATGCACAGCGACTACAAGCTGTTGCTAATGAATTACTGAATGTATTCACTGAACAAAACTTGGTAAGCAATGGTCCATACCGTCCAGATAATTCTGTGAAGCTACACATGACTCTCTTGAATTCTAAGTATCGACAAGAAAGAGATAGTCAAAATGCATCTTCATCGCATGGATTTTCGCCTAACGCTGCTCGTAAACCGTTCAGCATAACAGGGATTATGAAAGTTGCAGGGGATTTTTCTTTTGCTGAAAATCAATCCTTTGATCAACTTTATTTGTGTGATCGATTATCATTCGATTCTACTACTCAATTCCATAAATGCTGTTGTAAAATTGAATTCAGTAATGCCTGTGATAGTGAGTGTGTACGTGTTGTGAAAGTATAAACGGATCTATCTTCTTTATAACATTTTTATTTCATCTCTCTTCGTCAGTCGATCAGTTTCATTCTTTCTTGATTGGTTAACCACAATGGTCTTGTAAATCCTATTATATTTGCTTTTAAGTAAATGTTTTTCTAACTTTGTAATTGCCTTAACTGTTGGGAGAATCAAGTATATTCATAAGTGACTCCACTTTCCAGTCCTCTTCTTTTTTTCAAGAATTAGTCTTCAGGGATTCTATTTGTTTCAGGTTAGACTATGGATTGATATCAGTTAGAGAACCATCAAAAACCAGGGAATACTGGGCAGCTGTTTCATCAGTCTACTTTGAGACTCATCGGCAGTAAGCTTGTTAAATTATTTGTCTAATGCCATTGTTTATCATTTCAAAAATAAGGATGTTATTCAAAGCGGTAGTAAAAAAGAATCTGCTTACAACCTGGGTGAAGAGCTTCATCATTCGAGATGACTAGGCACACGTGCTTCGTGTCCAAAGCCATTGCCTTCCTCGTCAAACCATGTTAGTCGACATATGACCAGGTTGCTAAAAAGTGTTAGGGATGGTCATATCAAAACTTCGCATCCATCCATCAAGTCTGATTTTTGTTTTGGGTTATGTAGGAGAGGTGTAGACGACTACCAGGTTTTAGACCTCGAGATTCAAAGAATTAGTTGGGTGGAGACTACTGTTAAAGATATGGCTCGAAACCCCTTTTCCACGTGGCACACAGATGCATTCACTCTGTAGTCTCCTACATCCACTGGACCTTGATGTTTTTCCACGATACTCTTCCTCCTGTTGTGTACCTTTGACAGCCCATTATCGTTATTTGGGATTTCTATCACTTTTCGCTACCTTTGTGTGCTACATATGGAGTGTAAGAACTTGAACTGCTTCACTCATGTGCAAAGTTTCACGTTTAAACTCAGTCAGACAACCAAGTTGATGAAAGTGAATAGTTTTGTTGCAGTGTGGATAAATTTTAGTTTTTCCCGGTGAAACAAAATGTCGAACAATCATTATGAAGAGAAATGGTATATGCAGACGAATGTTAATGTTAAAGCGGTAAAATATAACAAATCACTGTAATAATATAACTGAATAACTGGGTTTTCTCGCAAACAATCAACGGTGGTAGTAAGGAGATATTCAGGGACAAACATCAAAGTGTGGTGAGAGCAGGCCGCTAGCCTTTTGGTAGACATTGATTTACGTCAATGTCTACGTCACTAATATTGGCCGTGAGAAAATATGAACAAGGCTGATTCAACAATCGGTCACAGCAAACTTAACGTGGGCAAATAAGATTCGCAGATATATGGCTTAACTTTCCGAGAAACCAGAAGCAACCAATCAGAAGACTGTGTTTGTCAGCTTGAATAAGCTATAATAATGTACATTATATATATATATACGTGCTGATTTCCGTAATAAAACGATCTGTTGCCAGCCCTTGTCTTCTGTTGCTACAAAAGGATTTCGAAAATAATTAGAAATTACTAATAATAATAGAGAAGATTTGTAGCTCAGGCGGATGATTTTTAATAATTGTGTTTTCAGAGCTGGTTGGTTTAGTTGCGCTGAAGATGTTGTCCAGAGGCACGACGAAAGCTCCACAACTAAACCAATCAGCTCAGAGAACACTACTAATTACAAATTGTGAATAAACAAAATCAAAACAAGTGATTCAGCGACGAGATTCTTTTCAACGAATTTATCATCAAGCTGTACAGTCGTATATATATATATATATATATATATATATATATGGTTTTTAAGAAGTTATATCCGGTGAGGGAACTAAATCTTAGGTGTGAATGCATACAATAATAATACTAATAATATGAAGTTCAATTAAAACTAAAATGTTTGTGATTATAATCATAGTTAAATGTCAAGTGGCAAAGCAAATTATCTGTTTGCTGCTGCCAACTTCGACAACTCTCTATCCGTTATTACTGGGGATTTCAACTCCTCAGATTGCTCCTTTCTTGAAGCACTTGGTCGCACAAACATAGTCAAATTACCCACTCGACTTGACAAATCACTCGATCTAGTTTTTACTAATGACGAAGGAGTATATGAAACACGTAGGCGATCATCGATACTAAACTCAGATCACTGTGTAACAAAAGAAGACAAGGGCCAGGCAACAGATCGTTTTATTACGGAAATCAACACAAATTTATATATATCTCCTGTACATTATTATAGCTTATGCAAGCAGACAAACGCAGTCTTCTGATTGGTTGTCTCTCGGAAGTTAAGCAGACAAACGCAGGCTTCTGATTGGCTGTTTTGGGTAACATCGAAAAGTGGAGCCATCTGTCTGCGAATCATATTTGCCCACGTTAAGTTTGCTGTGATTGGTTGTTGAATCGGCCTTTCTATATTTTCTTACGGCTGAATATTAGTGACCTAGACATTGACGTAGATTCATATCTACCAATTGGCTAGCAGCCTGCTCTCACCACATAACTATCAGCCAATAGACTAAAAAAGGTGTGGGGATGCGTCTACCGGGAATTAAATCTCAGAACACATGGATACCTGGTGAGCATTCTACTCCTGAGCCACAGACTCATCATAACTGTTTGTAAGGTTCTGAAACTACCCACTCATTCTAATTACAAGTCCTCATGATTGAAAGTATATTGAAAACGTCAGGTCAGTTGACTTCAATAGCTATCTTCAAATGACATTAATTTTGTCAAATACGCTGACGACCTGACTGTATCTTTGCCTGTCAAATGTCAAAGTGACTGCTCTAAACTAAACGGCTTTTTAGCAGAAATTTAGCTAATGGTCCAAGGAAAGTGGTCTCACCTTAAACCCCTCCAAATGCCAGAGTTAATTTCACCTTTAGGCACAAACCTGACCTAAACAAACTGGTTAGCACTCACGAGATGCGCAACATTGATGGCACTGAAAGTGAAACTAAGTCAGAAATTAAATACCTAGGCTTCATTCTATCTGCTGATCTTTCCTGGTCGTCCCATATCTTGATTTCTAAGAAAATATTCCGTCTTACCTTCTACATCAAGAAGTTAAGACATTCTGGTATAACCCAACATATACTCCTACAATTCGTCAAATCCCGTATTCTGCCTATTATTCTCTATTGTTCCCCCTTAGTATTTCCTGGGCTACGCAGGATGTTAAAGGTTGTCAGCAGGGAAAGCAACGTGCCACTTAACCAGCTTGTTAATATTCTGGTTGACAGGCACTTGGACTCATGTAAAAAATGGGCTAAATCCACACCCCCTCTTCATTCACAACTCTCCCCTTGTATCTCTTCAGGCAAAACCAGAAGCCTGTATAGAAAACTATACGCTCGCACTAGTAAGTACAAAAACTCAACCATACCCTACTTAGCTCGTGTTCTGTGCGATAAAGAAAGCATTAGACGTGAAACCTTTAACTTATTAAAGTCAATAGAACAACTGGATCTCGTCTTTTCAACTCATATCATTTATAGGTACAACGTTTTCTTTCTTTTCCTTTTCTATCTATCTCTTTTTCTGTTATGTGCAGCTTTGTTTCTTTCTTCTGTTTGCGCCAGTAAATATGCTAGAACCTGATTTTCCAACACTGTTTATTTTGGCTTTGCTACCGACATGCTAATATGTTGTTGTCAAAACTGAGATTACCTTAATCTATGTAGAACTTTATTTATTGTTAATGTACTAACTGGATGCAATATTGTACTAAAATGCAGAGAAATCCATTCTGTACCACAAGTACTGTTTTGGAATAAAGCTATTATCATTTATTCATGTCATATATAGAATAATTCATAGGATGAATAGAACTTGAGAAAGGATGTGCAACTATAGGATTAGTAGACAAATCGAATAAAACAAAAACGTCACGTAATATTGTGTGAAATTTAATAGCATAGAATTTATCGTTATAAAAAAGAATTGATTTGGAATGACAAGTGGAACAAGTGAAATAATACCGGGGACAGTTCAAAGTGAGAATAGTAATAATAACAATTGACGTAATAAGGAAGAGTATACAAATTGAATAGACAAAATGAAAAATTGGTAGAGCTAAAATATGATTGGGGATTACCATATTTTAGCATAGAGGGATTAAGACCATGAAAGTTGGAGGGGTTGAACGAACTTTTTCTGTACACAGAGATCTGGCTTTTTTGTTTCGATAGCCAAAGCTTCAGCAATACAGATGAGTCGGATACGTAGGGATTCGGGTAAATTACTCTTTGCCTTGTAGATGACTTTAAAGGCGGAGGCTATAGAGATAGGGTGATCACTATCGACCAGATGTTCAATGATCGCGCTTCTTATTGCTCCACTTCCACCTTTTTGTAGCCATGCAGGATAGTGTTCTTGCACTCTCTTGAACAAAACTCGAGTCGAACGACCGATATACCTAGCTCCACACGAGCAGGTGAATTGATAAACAAACACACACAGAGTTAATCAACAGCGGGATCTTGTCCTTCAGGTTACCGAACAGTAATGGTCGGCTAGGAAAGGCTATTCTCAGAGATGCAGCAGGGAATGTTCTTTTCAGGGACTGTGATATCCTTCGTTTCATGATATCGGAAGCTAAGTCCCCTTTGAATTCCAAGCTCATGTGAAGTATTTTCTTGGGAACGGTTGATAAGTCACGTTTTGTAGGCTTTGAATGTATATTCTTATCTATAAAACGTGGTGGAAATCCATTTTCCATTAGGATTTTCCTCAAAATGTATGACTCATCTTCCACAGTATCAGTGCTACATATGCGCCGAATACGAGTGGCAGCGACCGGACCAGGTTTCGTTTTCGACTAATAGGTACCCAGCTGTCGAAATTTGTCAGTTGACCATTCAGATATCTATACAACACAAAATAATCGAGCGCTTCGCTGAGCCTTGCGCTATACTTCAAATACTCGTTGAGTACTTTTAACGCATTCCATGACAGCTTACGACAAATCGATCTCTTCAGAGTTCCATCGATCCTTCTTGATAAGCTCACGTCGAGGAAAT